CTGGAGCTAGTCACCTCCTCCCCCACTGCCCGCTCCAGCATCACGCAGGGATCCTGGCCCCTAAACCCACTCGCCTTCAGGAATGGGTTGGGGTTGGGCCTCTCTTGCCTTGGAACCTAGAACAGAATCCTCAACCTAGTGACTAATTGGGGATTTGAGGAGACTAAGAACCTTTACCTTGCCGAGTTTTCAGGGTCTGTCAGGCGCCAGATTCTATAGCGTTAAAATGAGAATTTAATTCGCCAGAGCTTATAGAAATGTGCAATGTCTTTCTTTTCTTTTTAAACTTGATCATTGGTGTTCCTTAAGAGCAGTAGAGCTAAAATCTCTGTTCAGCGAGTGTAAGAGTTGCATCCTCTCCTGAGATGCAAATTTTTCTTTGAGGCTCTTGTAGACAGAGTTTAAATCCTGTGAATCCACCGTCAAGTCCTCCAAATGAAGAGTTAGCTACTGGCGTTCCAAACAGAGATTCTCAGATTCCCTTTGGACTTGAGATGAGAGGTGGGAGAGGCTTGGGCTGTGGTCCCTTGGGGTCCAGGCCGCTGGCTGGGGATGCCTGGCTCTTGTCTGGCTGTGTATGCAAGAAGAGATCTCTTATGTACTGTTTCTCTGACTAAGGTTGTCTCTGAAAAGAGATTCCATAACTCCTCCTCATTCCCCAAAGGAGAAAGACCATCCCGGGTCTCTCCAAACAGCATCAGGAGCTTTGGGCTCCACTCTGATCTGAGAAATAAGGGTTTGGGGGGAAGGGGGGTCTAAAGAAGCCAGCCTTTGGATCTGCCCTCCCTATAAAGCTCAGGAGCGAGTCCTCTCTTCTGACACTCCAGAGATCCTTGGGAGTCTAGAGAAGCGGAAGCTATCTCTCCACTGTGCCCAGAAGGAGCCAAAGGAGCCCATAGCCTCACATGCTAGGCCTAGGGATTTTTCATTGGATCAACCCAAAGAGCTCTTTAAGGGTGGCCGTGAAATTCCACTACATCCGGGATTGGGTGGAGAAGTGTATGGAGAAGAATACTGAATGATGCTACAGAATATAGCAAAAACATTCTGATAAATAACATGAGGTCACTTAATATAACACAAGTCAATACCAGAGCTAGACCAACACAAGGCATCCCATGTCTGTGCCAGAATTGAGATGATGGTTGTGGTACAATGGTCTCACACACTATAGCATTAGCTATAAGATTTTTATGCAATACAATTTTATTAATTACTGTGAACCACAGACTGATGCATTTATATAGGATCTTCATCTATAGACATTCTATAATACATTTGTAGAAGAGAGGCTTCCCTTCATTTCTCTAGCTCATGAAACCGAAGGCTTCTTGGATGAGAGTTCAGTAGGAACTGATGAGCCATGCCAAGAGGGCTGGTGCCTGGGAAGCGGGTGCCTACCCTGCTTACTGTAGATAGAGCAAAAACCAACATCTTCACAGTGAAGAGGTAGCAGAGGGAGCTGCTGTGGCTTTTGTGGGTTGTGTGGTGGGTTAAGCATTGGAGGGAAACTCAGAATTATCTTTGAGCAAATAAACATCTTAAAGATTCCCAGAAACAAGAACAACACACACAAAAAGGATCTGCTAAAAATAAACACTTTTGTATCACAGCTTCCTAAAGAAAGATATCTTTGAGATAAAAAACATACAGCCTGATTGAGATTTAATACACTTGCAAATTACAACAGAGAAATGGATATAAAACTTAGTGTGCCTCTGCTGCTCTGAGCTCACACTCCCCTGTGGAAATAGATTCTGGCTGGTGTATCTTAGGGCTTGGAGAAGTCCAGGAGAGAGGCAGATGAAAAGGAAATTATCTTCAGACACCCTCCATCCTCCATCGTTCTACCCACACAAGTCTTTTAGAAGTAGTGAGATCTTCAGATAACTCTGTCTATGCAATTGTGGTTCATTCCGCAACATCCAGCCATAAACACCACTGTCTCTCGCCACTGCCTCTGGCTCTGAGAAACCTCACCTATGGTAGTCTAGGCCGATGTGGGAGATGGAGGCAACTGTTCAAAAGGATCTGGATAATTAGAGCTGTCAGGAGTTGTGGCTTCTTTTCCCCAATTATACAGACCCCTGCTTTACTGTTCTGCCGCGCGCATGCACACACACACACACACACACACACACACACACACACACACACTGTGGTGACTGTAGACACTTTTCTTTTTTCATAAGAAAGGCAGAAATTCCAGGAGAGAACTAGAAGAAGAAAGAAAAAGAAGAGAGGCAGTTTTGAGATAGATAGATAGATAGATAGATAGATAGACAGACAGACAGACAGACAGACAGAGCATAAAGAAAAGAAACAGTGGGTTTTTGAAGCCCATACTAAAAATCTGTGCTGACAAAGTCTTTGAATTTGGACTGAAAAGAACCACTAGCAGAGCAGCATAGTCTTCAAATTCCAAAACCTACTGGGGGGGGGCAGGCTTTTGGGTTCCCTACATAGGAGTCTCTCAGCCCCCAAACAAAACAATGACATAGCATTGTTTTCATTCTTATTTGCTCTTCATAGATGCTGATTAGATTCCGAGGAACAAATTGGTTGGTGAAGGTGATCTGGAAGAACACTAGAGCAGGGGACATTGGGACACTAATAGCCAAGTTCTCATCTACACAATGTAGACACAACTTCAAGTCTAAGCTACCAGATGCTCTCACATCTGTAGAGCCCACTTCCTTTCTAACCAAAACAGCAGACAATGAAAGATGCTCCTTGTAGAAGGAATGGCAGGAGCTATTTCCCCAGGAGGCAAAACCAACCTGCTGTTCTGTTTGACTCATGAAAAACTGGGTGAAGTCAATCCTTCATATCCAATAGAGAAAATAATAATGATAATAATAATAATAAATTTTTAGAGCAGTTATCTACCTTTTAATCAGATTTTTTAGGGTTGTGCTGATTAAACTTCATTAGAAATTTAGAGTTGATGTTTAGGGAGCTACAGAAAGTGAAGTTTAAAAAGTCAGGAATAATGAACTGGTTCTTTTAAGTTTTTTAAAAGAAAAAACTTTCTATTTTTATTTTACCCACCTTTATTTTACTTTTCCCTTCAACAAAAGGGATATACCATGTTTCCGTTTCTATGTGAACTCTGCCGGTGGCTTTCTGGGAAGAGTCAGAGGAGCCTAGATTCTAGTTCTGTCGTTTAAGTCATTTTCCCTACTCTGAGCCTCTGATTTCTGATCTTGCGAAATTTGTTTAATAAAATAAACTAAGAGATGTCCTTAGGGGAAAACCCTCACTGATACCTCTACTCACCCTCCTCACTTTTATTCTTATCCCAGAATCATCAGTTTTCCAAACCATGGTTTCATCTGTAAGAGTAAAACAAATTGAAGATGAGTCCTTTAAATTTTAAATCCCTTGTAACAGATCACACCTGCTAAATTGAAGTTGCTTTTTTTCATATTAAAAAAATTGTGGCTTGCATAGTGACAGAGAAACATTTGATAAGTTGAATGTATAATTTTTATGAGAAATTGTCACCATGAAAATAGCCTGAGCAGCTGAGCAGACCATTGGAACTTCTCTCCCATTTTCTTCCTGGATTCTTTATTTCTCTCTGCATTCAATTATAACCCCCCCACACTTCCCCTCTCTGTATAGTGGGCCATGAGTTGAGAGAGAGAGAGAGAGAGAGAGAGAGAGAGAGAGAGAGAGAGACTCTAGGAATGGCAGGCAGTGTAGGGAATCTGCTTGGGAGCAGGTGGAAAGCTTCAGCTATCAGCCTTCAGGCTGGAGCCATGTCTAACAATTCCAAAGATCCATAGGAATGAAGGGGAAGCCCCAGATATTCAGTCATTAGTGTCCACCTGAAGTCCAACAATGATAAGTAAAGCGATGGGGGCTGAACTATTCACAGAATCTCCCTCTCACTGCTAAGAGCTTGGCTAGAGAGTGACACACTATTTTGAATTCCTGTGGATGCTCCAAGCATCTTCAAAACTAAACAAGCCTAGGGTACCGGGGTGTAAATTTCTTTCAGTCTTGGAAGAACAGAAAGAGGAAAGTTGGAACCGAATTTGTTCTTTTTGGTGAGATTTGGGTATTGACCTCTTCTTTTGGGAGATCTGATTGCCTGCATTGAGGCAGGATCTCCCGCCTTCGGTGGTATTAGATGGTTCACAGCACTGGGTCTGCATTTCCAAATGACTGATCCCCAAGCAGTCTGGCATCATCTGATAGTTTCTTCTCAAGATTGGTGAGTCAGGTCCATAGTGCAAGGCTAGACTACTTGGTTTTAACCCCTTGGGCTTAAGGGCCCACTTAGTGGTCTATGCCCCTGTAGCTGATACCCTGCCTGCCATGCTCTCCTCAAACACACAACAACCTAAGTCCTTCCCTGACAAAGAGGAGAATACAGGGTGTAGGGGCCTTGTGCTAATTGGATGAAGGAATTTTCTGAACACTAAAACTCCCACTAAGCATGACCAGGAGGATTTGGAGCTACCATCTAAGGAAGGGCCCAGGGTTTCCAGTAAAGGGTGTGTGTAGAGCCATAGTGGAGACTGAGGCAATAGGAAAAATCAATAATACAAATCTTCTGGTTATTTTTAGTGACATTTTATCGTGACTTTTTTGCATTTGTTTTGATTTTCTTTTTTTTAAGTACCTTAAAATATTACCTTGATTACTGAGGTTTTTAAACCCCCTTTCCTTAAAGTTTGTATCTAAAAGGAGGCTGGTACCCAGTGGCTTCATTTTCTTCGTGGCCTTACTAACAATGGAGGTACTTAGGATTAGGGCGCCTCACCAAGCAGTACAATCTGGCGGCCCAGTTGCCACCTCGCATCCGCATCCGGGTGATCCCTGGCCACCCATCTCACTTGCTTGCCTTCTTTCTCACCCCCCCCCCCCAGATGTGGTTCCCCTACAGCCTGAAGTGAGCAGCTACCGGCGCGGGCGCAAGAAACGCGTGCCCTACACCAAGGTGCAGCTGAAGGAGCTAGAAAAGGAGTACGCAGCCAGCAAGTTCATCACCAAAGAGAAGCGCCGGCGCATCTCAGCCACCACGAACCTCTCGGAGCGCCAGGTCACCATCTGGTTCCAGAACCGGCGGGTGAAGGAGAAGAAGGTGGTCAGCAAATCTAAAGCGCCTCATCTCCACTCCACCTGACCGTCCACCAGCCCGCCCCGTCTATTTATGTCGCCTCTTTGTACCATAACAGAATCCACCCGAAGGACGCTGCACCGGTGCAGACCACTATTTAATCTTACCGAGAAAGAAAAATAGCGCGACGCGCTCTGCCTTACCCTACTTCTCATCCCACCCCTAACCACAACCCCCTCCAAATGGTACCCCCTCAGCATCTGCAGCTGTAGAGGTGGGTTCGGAGGGGTAGGATGGGTTGCGGGAGGAAGACCTTCTGCCTCTACCCCCCTGGCCTTCATGGTTTGTCCCACTAGAAAGCTGAGTGGCCAGGAGATCCCAGTCATTCCTACCAAAGCAAGACTGGGGGATTCCAAAAGACTCATTCTTGCCTTTTCCTGAGCCTCCTTCCAGGCGCATGGGCTCGGGATCTGGGGAACTCCTGCTTTCTTTCCTGTTCCTCCATTTTTACTATCGCTCCCGCACTCTCTAGGCAAAGTTTCCCACTTAGAATTTTTTTTCTGTGCATCTTTTAAAATTCGTCTTAATATTGATGATAATCTTAGGGCCTAGCAGCGTGACTGGAATTGAGACGAAGCTGGGAGTTTGTAGGTTTTCTTTTTTATTTCCATCGGTTTCTACAAAAGCTGGACTTGGTGCAGCCCCTAGCCATACCCTGACCCAGAAATGATTTCCCAGGAGGTGCCTTTGACCCCACTGCCTCCTCTGCTTTGCACTCTCAGTCCTTTGGAAACCTAAGGAGGACAAAAACCTCCAGTCACAATACTAAGTGCGTCTGCTGTCTCTCTTTCTCTCTCGTGGTAAAGTTGGGAACTAGGCCAGGCTTAGAATCAGAACTTAAATAAACTTGAAAAGAGCTGGAGGATGGGTCCCTTAGAAGATCTTCAGTCCTGTCTTCACGGCAGCAATAGGAGGTATCTGCTTCGGAGGGACCGCATGCTTTCATTTTCACTGACCAAGGACGTTGAAATCACTGGCTCTGGATAAATCAGCTAAATGTAGATGCTGCCTACTCAAAATTGCTCTCTACTCAAAAGCCAACTTGGTGCTGTGGGTGCCCCCTCACCTCCTCCCTTCCGAGTGGCTCATTACAAAACAGTGTTCTTTTGAAATGCCCATACAAAATAGGCTGTTTTTTTTTAATGTTGTGTATCTGTATATAATATTGTGATGTCTGGCAATGTATTGAATGCAAAGAAGAAAAACCCAAAAACTTGTTTTTAAAATAAAATATCCTTTTGTTTTTGGCCTTGATTTTATTGCTCAGGTTCCTTCTGAAACCTTTGTTTTCTGACTCTTCAGGGCAGACTATAATGGCCCAACCCAGTCAGGCAGGGCCAGAGAAGAATATAGACAAGTCTACAACAGTAGATCCCCAACCTGAATTTCTCTCCAGGGAAGTTTTGGAGCCATTTATTTTATCTATTCTGTTTAGATATGAGAATGTCACATCTTAATACCCAACTTTATATTAGGAGAGGGAAAGATATGATCTGCCACTAAAAATGTCGGAAAGTGGGTAAGCGGGAAAAGTTCATTGATGAATAATTTGTAGTTAGCTTGGTGGTAGAGCTCTTCTCTAGCATGCTTGAGGCCCTGGCTTTGCTCTCTAATAATGGGGGGGTCTGTTTCTAGAGTGTTTAGAAGGCAGAGGATGACTGGAGACCTGGTAGCAACCGTGGGGTGGTTGGTGGTTCACAGTATGCTAGGAGTTCAGGTCTCTTTTCTTTGTTCCATGGACCTAAACTGAGAAGTCTGAATGCCAGGATCCTTGAGCCTTCAGTTTGTCAGGCCAGCTTCACTTTTATTCTCTAGAATTCCTAAGAACCCCGTCTTCCAGGAGGTCTGGAGCCTGTGTAAATGCTGCCACTAATTTGTTTCCTTGTCGCGTCTGTGCCTGTCTTCCTATCTGGTGGAGTTAATGAGATCGTTAAGTTGTCAGGTTAAGAGACTTTTAAAAAGCAATATAGCCTAAAACAATGTTATCTCAGATTAAATCTTTACTGCAACAATTTTTATTTATATATAATATTTTTTATCTCCTGAGACACAGAAAGACTGGAGGCATCAGGTTGGAAATTAGAGTCCTCCTGGATCCTTTTTGCCTGGTGAAACTGAAGCTTTTAAATTTTAATGTAAATAAATGTTTTTTGGGGGATGCACTCACACACACACACACACACACACACACACACACACACACACACACACACTGCGGTCTGAGAGACAAAGAACATGAAGAATTCGCCCTCCACGGAGTCTGTGCTACTGAAGTGGCTGCCATTCCTGTTCTGCACAGCTCTGTGCTGACCCTATAGAACCACACACTCAGCAGTGGAGATTTGAAAGGGAATAATTGAATCTCCCAGGGACAAGAGTCACTGTTAATTTTATTTCCCTTTTTCTCCCCACCAATAACCTAAATCTCTCTCCAAAAGCCCCTAGACCTCTCCTAAGACAAAAAGAGTTATTTAGACAAAGGAAACCACTGGAGAAGAAACTTAGGGCTCTTCTTTATGGGCCGGTAGCTCTCTTAGTCATCCTGATACTTTTTTAACACTTTGTAGACATAATGAAAGATAATTTTGAGTTCTCCAAGATAGCCTTCTACTTCTGCACACAAACCTACACTTAATCGAAGGGTCAAGTCTTAGCTGGTGACGTGGCACACCTGAAATCCAGCTCTACCTTGGGGTTGAGGTAGGAGGATTGGTTGAGCCTTGGAGTTCAAGGTCCACCTAGGTAAAATAACCAGATGCAGGAAAATAATATATCCCTATGATGAAGCTCCCTGCAGGTGATAAAGAGGAGAAGCTTTGTATGAGCTCCTGGGCATTGGGAAGGCAAGCAAGGTTTGCAGACATTCCCTGTGCCCAGTGTGTTCAGGGTTCTTTGTATTTTCAAACACTCAACCTAATATGTCAGCTTGAGTTTTGAGGATTATTTTATTTGGGCCAATTCTGGAGATGCACCTCTAATCAGAGTAAATAAATACTGGTATAAAGCTGTGTGATCTTGTGTTTTAGGGAGGCAAAGATGGGAAATGTATTCTTTCCCTGGTTGAACTGACTCTTTCTTTCTTTCCAGAGATAATAGCATTATATCATGGTAATTGAGGATACACATGTGCACCGGTGCCTTTGAGCAGTGGAGACCTCATCCTGCTTGCAGGTGTGTGAGTGTTATCAGCACACTCATCTCAAGCTGTAGAGGAATTTTGTCTTTATTTACACCCATTAAAGAAAATCTTCCTCTTCAAGAACAGTCTCCTAAGATTTGTTTGGAGTAAGGGGTTTTGTTTTTGTTTTTGTTTTTGTTTGGGGGGGTTGTTGTTTTTTTAAGCATATGTAAGGGCACCTTGGTGTGGCAGCAAAGGGCTGTGAACACAGAGGCCACCTCCTTGGTAACAGAGGTCCAGTTCTCATAATTCCACGGAATCCCCAGCTTCTCCAAGTCCCAAGGCCAAAGGCTGGAGTGCCTAGGACCACTGTGGTTTCATAGTACTCGCCTTTAAAGTTCACTGTGCCAAGATGTCAGATCGGACTTGGGATGAGTCTTTTGGTGTTTGGGGAGAAAGCTCTTCCCTGCCAACAATATCCGCATCTAGTGCTAGAAGAATGGGCCTTCCTGGCAAAAGTCTCAGAGTCAGGAACCCACCTGAAAAGGCCATGCAGATATGTCCATGACTGCTCGGAAGACCATCTTCTCCTGAGTTTAATCCACAGGCGTCTAAGTCAGCAACTGGGACGAAGTAGTGGGTAACAACCCATGTAGATGCCTGGCGCTGTCACCTCTGTAAAAGGCCCTCTTGTTGGAGTCGAGGGCTCCTGTAGCAGCCCCCTCTGAGCACCCATCGTGTTCAAATGAGAATTCTCCCACCCAGAACCTGCCTGAGTCCTGGCATAGTATCACAGCCCGCCCTCAAGAAAATTTCAAGAGCAAATGTGTATCTATCACATGTACGATGGTGGAGAATAGAGGGGCCCTTAGGAACGAGGGGCTTCTGGGAGGAGGAGGAGGAGACCAGAGCTTTTTCACAACCAACCAGACTCTTCCTCTTTTAGCCTTGACCGTGACTAGGTCTTTCTGACCTTGACAGCACAGAATCACGGGGGGAGGGGTGGTGGAAAAGGCCTTGATCTTCCGGTGGCCAGAAAAAGGGAGGGCCGCTTGTCCCCTGGACGCGCCATCCCTTTTCCAGCCGGAGCCCTCCGCCTCTGTTTACACACGGAGGAGGTGTCGTCTCCAGTCTAGACAGGGGCGCTAATAACGCCCATAAAAGGCGGCCTCTCCTGAGAGGCTCTGGTAACTCAGCTCCTGGTCGCCTGCCGCTGACGGCTCCCTCCGCCTCTGTCGCCCCGCCCCTCAGATACCTTGGCGGAGCCTGTGGGCCGCGGTGGGTGGGTGGGGTTCCAGAAGGTTTCTAGAGGCTGATAACCCCTACCCCTCGCCCTTCTGAATCTCCTCTGTCTCCAAAGGTAAGTGGACCTCTGCGCTCCCAGCCCAGTCAGTATGTGTGTTTGAGGGTGATAACAACATTCTCTCATCCCAACAATCTCCTGAGCTTGCTGCTCCAACCTGAAACACACTCTCTAGGAGCATAGAGACTAAATTTTTGGAAACAGCTGAGTAGCTGCATCTGGCAGAACCTAAGCATATCTCCGTCCTCTCCAGGGCTGGGCCTAGCCAATGGGCACTATCACGGACAAAGGGCCAGGCTGAGGAATGAGGGAACAAGGAGTAGTTCTCCCTAGCCCGGCTTTGAGGTGCATGAGACCAGGCCCGGGGCTCTCCCCTGGCTACAGCAGCAGTAGGTGTGGCATTTATAGGCGTGTTTTCTGCTTTTGCTCTTTTTTTTTTTAAACTTGGTCACCACACCTTTTCTGACACTCAGTAATTCACTAGGCGAGGAGATCCTCTGCTGGTGGAGGGGGAAAATGTCAGATTCGACAGTCTATTTGACTATTAGCACTACAAGAAAGCCTCGGAGAAAATCAGGAGAGCTCTCATAGAGGGGCTCATGATGGGGAGTCCTCCTCCAAATGTTCACTACCAGGGCTCTCAACCTCCCGGTTTTCGAGTGAAAAGCGAAAAGCGAAAAGCGAGCTGGGAAGTTTGTATGGGAGGAAACCCAGAGGAGCCTAGTTTGAAAGCCTGCTCTGCTAGAGCTTCCAGGGTTAGTCCAAGCCGCGGTCCCTAGAAAGCAAAACAGCTCTCCCAATTTGATGCTTTGGTTTAAGGCACTTGCAGGAATGATGGAGGCCAGATGGACTCTATCCCCTAGAGGAACCAGTGGAGAGTCCAATTAAGAGAGAGGGAGAGTCCTCCCTCTACCCTATCCCGTAGTCTTATCTGAATGTGAAAAAGGTCCATCCCAAGCCTGAATAGTCCCAAAGGGATCAGATAGCGGGGCAGGGAGTGAAGAGAGCCCCCTTCAAGCCATCATTTTTCTTCTCCTTTAGTAGAGCTTGTGCTTACATCCCTACACGGGCAGGGCCCTGCCTCATTTGCATATGTTGTCAGCCCCTTTCTTCAAACTAGGCAGTGACCTTGAACCGGTTTCAGCGGCCTCAGCTCACCACAGAGAAAGCGCAAAATCGAACCAAATAATTCTCAGTTTAGGATTAGCAGAAGAGCCCAACTGCAGCCTCATCACAATCACTTTGTCTGGGCCACTAGAGGCTGAGGAGATTTTCTAATTAACTTCTGCCTACCCCCACAGTAGTAGAGGCCAGTATGTAGGCGGGAGGGAGGCACAGAGAAGGTGTGAGGAGGTAGAGGGACATCCTGCGGGTAAATGATCTGAAAGAGACTAGCTGCCTGTCTTGGGTCTTCAGGGGAAACCCTGGACTATATCTTTACCTTCAGTTTTAGATAACCCCTGGGTTAACTAAAACAGAGAGGGGTTGAGTCTGGCCAGCTTTGGTGGAAGCTAGTGGCCTAGCAGACATGCTACCCCTTTGAGCCCTGTGATTTGATGAAGGTAAGGAAGAGTTTGGAAGCATCGGTTGTTCCGCTGTTGACTTATGGTGATGATTTCGTGTGTGGGCAGCGCAGTGAGGGCGGATTAAACCAGACTAAAGGCACCTACCAGCTACCTGAAAGTCTTGGAATGCCATAACCCACTCACTTGGCATCAGAGGGCATCTTCGGAACAGCTCTTGATGAGCTGGATTTAGAGTTGAAGCTTTGCACCCTAGCCTCCCGCCGGGCCTGGGGATCCAGGTTGGAAGTAGTGTTTTTGTCCGAACTCATTCAGAAACTGGGCGTCTAAGCTCCCAGGTCACCTGGAGACTTACAGAGCTATCGCGATGCTTAGTGAAACTGGACGCTTAGATCGCCAGGGTCCTCAGCGGGACCAGAAAATCCCCTAAATTTACAGAGTCTTGGAGAGTAGGATTCTGGGAACAGGGATTTTGCTGAGGACCGTCGTCAATTTGATATAAATTAGCATGTGTTGGTTGGAAGGAAGAGGGTTTTGTGCGTGGGCCTGTGCCAAGTCTGAAACACGGAGGAAATGGTTTTGTCAGGGTCGAATCATGTTGGGAGAAATGAGTCTCTGAAGAAGGAAGCCCTTTCATCCCGTTATTTTCACTGGCGTTGCATCTGCCGCCCTGTGGCCAGCGCTGAAGTGCTCTGCAGTGTGACCCAGAAGGACAGCGAGAAAAGCTCCTGGCCTGAGATTGTTTTCTTTTCCTTTTTCTTTTTTTTTTCTTTCTCTCTCCCTTTTTTTAGAAATCTGTGGAAAGATGGCGAGAAGCTAAGACCTTCCTCCTGAGGTCCCTTTTCATGGAGATGAGCATTGTTCGAAGGGAAACTAGAATAGGGAGAAGACTCCACCCAACAAAGGCTAGTGGCAAAGCCAGCTCCGCATCCTTCACTCCAACAATAGCGGCAGAGAGCCGAGGCCTGGAGAGAGCCGGGGCGGAGACCATGCTGCCACAAACGTAGTAATATTGAGATCACATCCCCTTTATCTTTATGACCAAAATGACCCTCAGATAATTTTTTTTAAAACTAGATGTTCATATGCAATGAATCTTGAAAACGGAGAAATAAATGAAATTCGGGGATGTTGTGACACTAGAGCTATGGCTGAGGGATAGACACTCCTCTTTGCAGCCTAATGGCCCCTTAATCAACAATGCACAAAAAAGACCACTGCAAGACGAGTCTCTTTCTGGTTCTGAGTGAAGGTTGACTGCAGAGACTGGCATCCCACCCACTGGACCTCGGTGCTTCCAGCTTGTGGGCCAGGCGCTGGGCGGGCTCCTGGGGACGGGTGGGGCCAAGCAGGCTGCCAGGAAAACCAGCCAAGCGGGGCGAGGGGCGGGCGCCAAGCTGCGGGCTCCTAGCTGCGCGGGATAGGGCGACGCCCGCGGGGACACATTTCTGTCAGAGTGTGCAGCTATGGTTTGGGATATGAAATCGCTCCGGGAACAGTGGAATTCGAAGAATCTTCGTTTCTTTCTGCCGCGTCCTGCACAGAAGAGAGGGGTGGGAGAGAGAGAAGAGGGAGATGAGACTCATCTGCAATTCTGTCTGCGTTTTGTAGCTTTGGCTAATTCCCAGATATTTCACTTTCATCTACATTCCTTCATATTCTCCCCCACCCCGTGTGTGTGTGTCTAATTCTCCGAAAAACATCGTTCTGATGTTTTTAACATGTATACGTTTTCAAACTATTTATTCAACCTTGAACAACTGAAGCTCAAAATAATCAGAGATGGGAATTTCTCTGCTATAACTCTAATAAAATGCATCTGATTTGAACTTTTTTTTCCCTCTTGATGAGCTATTTGGTGCTTAAGTTGAAATCCCAATGTGGACTTGCGGATGTTCATTTTCATCAACCAACACTAGCTTCTCAGCCTTCTTTGTACCGTAAATAGAATTTTGAATTCCCAACAGGACACTTCTCTGCCGTTTTCCCTCACTCTTGTCCCACCTCAGAAGGCAACCTGGTCTCTGCGCTTCTCCGTAATGGCCCCAGAGGCCAGTCTGCAGGTTGTAGGGTGATCTCCTTTGCTGTAGGAATATGCAGTCTTTCAAGCCATCCAGTTTCTGCTGAGTGCGACAGCCTCCGGTCACAAAGACCAGGAGACTTCTAGAAGCTCCTCAGTCCCTAGAAGTCACACCCAAAAAGTAGTTCAAGTCACTCCCCGAGATTTTCCAGAGCAGGCAAATGAGTTCATACTGAGCTCAACGCTTTCCTTTGCCCATCTCTCTATCGTTTTTTCTTCTTTTTCTTCCGGTGAGAGGAGGCTAAGGTGGCCCCAGGCTGGGTTTAGGATTACAAAAGAGGTCGCATTATCTCTTTCTTGTGTGAGAGAACCCCAAACAGCTCTTCATATCCTAGAAAAAAAGGGCAACGGAGAGAACACAGCACCGCGCAGGGCTGAAATAACCGCAGGGAAACCTGTTCTCACCCCCACTTCGCCTCTACTGTAAATAAACCCCGAGCCAAAGGGCTCATCCGTCTCCTTAAACAGCCAGTAAACTTTATATGACACAATATCTAATAGTAATTTATTGGGAAGATATTGTAAATTACAGCGGTTTTAGTTAATAAAGGAGCTAATTAAAGAGGGACGGGTTGTACTCGGCCAGCTGTCGGTGATAAGATACATGGTGGGGGGTGCAGGGTGCAGAGGTGTGTATGTGCGGATATTTTTGGTGTAGCTTTTTTGGGTTTTGCCCCGTGTCAGGCGTTAAGGTTTTATGTGATTTAAAAAAAAAAAAGAAAGAAAGAAAAGGAGAGAATTCAACGAATAAATTTGCTCCTGCCATTCTCTCCCCCCACACCCCCAGGATCGGGGAAGGGAGAAGTTGGAGTTAGTGCGTGGAATGTGGGTGGGGGGGTTCGGTTGACCCCACCCCTCCCCCTGCTGTAGAGCCCACGTGAGTAAAGCGGCCAATGGGTGGCTGGTGCAGGTTTAACTATGTTTAATGTCAGATAGCAATAAAGTAGAAGCTGCCGGTCGGGCCCCGCGGAAATGGGCGAGCATAATCTCCTGAATCCTGGGTTTGTGGGGCCGCTGGTGAACATCCACACGGGAGACACCTTTTACTTTCCCAACTTCCGCGCATCAGGGGCTCAACTCCCGGGGCTGCCTTCGCTGTCCTACCCACGCCGCGACAACGTGTGTTCGCTGCCCTGGCCGTCGGCCGAGCCGTGCAATGGCTACCCGCAGCCGTATCTCGGCAGCCCGGTGTCTCTCAACCCACCTTTCGGCCGCACATGCGAGCTGGCTCGCGTAGAGGATAGCAAGGGGTACTACCGCGAGCCGTGCACGGAGGGCGGCGGCGGGAGCCTAAAGCGGGAAGAGCGCGGGCGCGAACCCGGAACGGGGCCCGGAGCAGCCCTGCTGCAGCTGGAGCCGTCGGGGCCGCCTGCGCTTGGCTTCAAGTACGACTACCCGGCAGCCAGCGGCGGTGGTGATGCCGGCACGGGACCCCCTCACGACCCACCCTCATGCCAGTCACTGGAATCTGACTCCAGTTCGTCCCTACTCAACGAGGGCAACAAGGGAGCTAGCGCGGGCGACCCTGGCCCTCTGGTATCGCCGTTGAACCCAGGCGGCGGGCTCTCAGCCAGCGGTAAGGACCCAGCCCACTAATGCGGCTTCCTCTGTCAGGGTATTGCCATTGTGGGCCGGGGAGACCTGAGCTGGGGCTGCCTGGGGTGACAGAAGGTGTGGTGAGCTAGAGCTTCTTTTAAAAGAAGGGGGGGGGACCCTATAAACATGTAAAGATCCCCATAAAAGAACTAGAGAGATTTCCTTTTCCGCTCCCAGTGGCTGTAGGTGTCTGGAGCTCCAGAGAATGGGGATCCTGATTGGGACTTCCCCAAGCCGGGCGGGGTGGGGAGTAATGAGGTGGAGGAGATTACATTTTCCAGGAGCCTTCCATCCTCTTTCCTACAGCCTCCACTACCCACATTTCTTATTTTAAGAAACACAACCAACATAATTTATTCCTTACTGCTTGTCCACGTCTTTTCTCACTGATGGGGATCTGGTAGTCCCTGATGATGTAAGGAGACCAGGCCAGGAAAATTAAATAGTAATAACAATGGAAGAAGAGAAGGAAGAAGATATTTTGGAAGAAGTAAGGAGCTATTGAATAGCTGTGGATACTACTGTGGGAAGTAGGGTTGTGGCATACAGTGAAAGCAGGGGGAAATGAAGTAGCAGATTGCTGAGGATAGTCTGGGTTTCAGGATGCTTAGAGATGAGAAGGGAAAGGAGTGATCTTATCCGGGTGTGGGACCAGGGTGAAAGGGTCTGGGAAAGGGCCCAGGCCACTGAGTTAGTCACTCCTGATCCCCTGGCCAACCCTGCGGTTCATCTCCACCCAGGCGCGCCCTGGTACCCGATCCACAGCCGCTCTCGAAAGAAGCGTAAGCCGTATTCGAAGTTGCAGCTGGCGGAGCTGGAGGGCGAGTTTCTGGTCAACGAGTTCATCACACGACAGCGTCGGAGGGAACTCTCAGACCGCTTGAATCTTAGTGACCAGCAGGTCAAGATTTGGTTCCAGAATCGGAGAATGAAAAAGAAAAGACTTCTGCTGAGAGAGCAAGCTCTCTCGTTCTTCTAGGAGTCAGGACACGCGTGCTCGCCCCAGACTGAGCTTGCTTTGGTGGAGCAAGAGGGGGCGGGCGTAGCCTGAAACCCAGTCCCGCTTACAACGCCTGGCCTCTGTCAGGCTCTCCCTGGAAGTCTCTTGTCTGTTTTGTTCGTGGTTCACACACACACACACACACACACACACACACACACACACACACACACACCCCTTCCTCCACTTCCCTTTCCGGTCTTCAGCCTTTATACTTGAAGGAGAAGACAAGGTTGTGATGGTGGAATCAATGTGCCCAAACTCATAGTCAATGGAGTTGGGAGTTGAAAGGTGAAAGCTAGAACAGAGAGGTTTAGTGGAGAGAATTGGAGGCAGAGAGCTGTGGTGGGCTTAGAAGAAGCTGGGGACCAAGGAGGAAATATGGTTTGAGAGAATGGTCCTGAGTCTGCCCACTTCTGAGACCTCCAGGCCTGAGTACTGGGTTGGCTAAAGTGCCTGCTTTTGGCAGACTACCCTGCAGGAAAGTAAACTAATCAGCTTTACATCCCCTCCAGGTAGCATCTGCAATATTCTCAAGGTCCTCAGCCCGCTGCTAAGCTCCCCCAGTTTGTCCCAGGCAAACATAGCTCACAGGTGTGCTAGCCACTCTTTCCTTCAACTTATGCGGCTGCGGACAGGAAGCAGCAAGCCGGGACCCGATAATCAAACTCACACACACAGATTTAGTAGCCACCCCAGAGACTCCACCTGACCCTCCGGGAAGCCCAAAGACGTGGCGGAAGGGATTGTGGAGAGCGGCATTGATTGGCAGGGAGTGTTTCCGGCAACTACTGCAGCGGCCCCGCTGATTCTCTCTTGCTGATTCTCTCTGGCGTTCACGGTCACGGCCGACCGGAGGCTGGACCGGGCGTAATTTATGAGGCGGGAGAAGAATCTGGCCTTAAAGGGGCTATGAGCAGCAGAGGCCCAGCTCAACCCGATTCCCAGGCTGGTAACAATGAAGGAGGGGGCGCTGCAGTTCCCCACCCAACTCCTTTCTCTCAATCCCCTACCCGCCCCCCAACATCGCCCTTTGTCTCAGGATCCGCTGCCTCCGCCTCCCAGCCAGTCACAAAGTACGGACCAGAACTGAAGAAGGAGGGGCGCATCTCTAGGTCCAGTTGGAGGGCAAAGAGGAAGGCTTTTTATGTATAGATCCTTTCAGCCTCCAACCCCAGACCCAAAGTTCCGAGACTGGCTGGCTCTGCAAAGAGCAGTCCAGATAAGCCCCCAGGCCTCCTACACCCTGTTTTTACTCTTCTCCGCACGAGCCTACCAGCTTCCCATCTGTTGTCTCACTCCTGTGGAAACACAGGGTGGAAAACCAGGAGATTGACAGAGTTAAATGCAGCTTGGGCAGTGTGAAAGCTCCCATTGAGGTGAGGGGCATCTTTCACTCTCCAAGGGCAAGCCAGAGAATATTGGGCTCCCCTAGTAGCATGCTGCTTCAAGTTTGTTTAGAGGGTTGTTCAGAGACACAAGCAAATGTACATACACACAGATGAACCCACCAAAGTATTGGGTCCAAACCCTCTTCCTACTGCGCTTGCAAGCAGGCAGCTTCTTGGTCTGTTTGGCTCAATAGAGAGGAAATACAGTCACATTCTTTGATCCTCCATTGGGTACCTGATACATCTTGCCATCTACTAGATATGTTCACCTATGTACAAGTTCCCAGAAACATGTCCACTCCAGCTGTCCACACAATCTCCTGTGGGCTGACCATAGGAATGAAGTACCAGTCTTCCCACCCCAACCCCCACCTCTTGCACCGGTCTGTATCCCCTCTTCCTGCAACTGGTGGACTGTAGAATGTTGGACTCAAGCTCCATCACTCTGATATGATTCCTAAATCATAGGAATCATCTTTTCTGGTAGGAAAGAGACTAGAACACTCCAAAAAGAAGGGGGCAAAGTTATGCAATATCCTCTTTCCTTTGCTTTAAACTTGATTTCTGTGAGCTTTTTTGTCCGTAGTATCTGTCCTGTTGACCGTGTCTGTCTCTAGTCCCTACTGTAGCTCCTGTGGTAGTCAGCATCCTCTACCTCTGTCCCCAGATCTGTGTAGTACTGTGTGTACTTCCCTACTCAAGCATCTGTCTTTAGCACGTTTTCCCTTTATATACTCTTTGTACAGAGTTGCTTCATCAAGTTAATATTAATAATTAAAACATGGATGTATGATGATGCAATGTTTTGAGAACTATTTCTAAGACTGGCTTCCCCACATAGAGTCTCTTCTTCCAAAAAAAAGATCAGGAACACTGGTCCCTTAGCTATTTATTTTATTTTCTCCATTTCAGGCAAATGACAAAAATAATACATACACAATAATAAAGAAAGAGCAGTTGCAATGGCAACAAAAATATGTGAGCAACCAAGATCTGTTGATGAGGTGCTATATCTAGTCCCAAGAAATTACTGGCAGAGAGAAAAATTGGGGGCACTAGACTGAGGAAGAAGAGGAAGCTCTGAAGAGTCACTGGGCTGTAAAAACTAATGTGGGGGGAGGGGGTGGCTTCAGAAAGGAGGTCTGCATAGCAGGAACTGCAAGAAGCAGAGCCAGGACAAGGAGGCAGTGAGTGTCCCGAGGCTGGCATTTGGTGACTGGTGGACCTAGATCCGAAACTCTGTGGTTGCAATGGGTAACTTCACTCTGGGAAGACAGTCTGTGCACTGTACAGCAAGGCAAGGTCAAAAGGCCCCTAAAGCTGGTAAGATAGTTTCCAGTTCTTGAAGCCAGCAACCCCTCAGGGCCTTTCCAGAGCCAGAGCTGCTCAAAGTTGGGGTGAAACACATTGCTCCCCTGCAGCAGCAGCACCTCAACTCAACTCTTCTTTTTCTAGGAAATGCTTTCCATCTGGCTGGACACTTGAACCTGCCTCTTGCTCTCAATTACGCTTTCTAAATTGTCTGACTCCAGATTTGGGAGTCTCCAAATTCTTCCACCTTCTTTCCAGGCCTAGAATAGCAGGTTCCCCTGTTACCTGGAGTCAACTATGCCTCCAGTCCTGAAATCTCTCTCCTTCTCCTTCCTTACGTCCTAAACCAGAGAGAGTAACACATTTAAATCAAATCTCTCTCTCTCTTTACTCCTAATTTCCAACTCCCTTGTAGAGCCTGGACACAGGCAGGAAGGAGATTTTGGGGTGCTCATATAAAAATCATTCTCAGAGTGAAGGAGAACCAAGAGCTGAGGGAAGGGCTGCTGACTGCTTCTGGATCTGAATAAAGGGGAATGGACCTGAAACCCAGTAAATTCGGGCAAATGACTATTCATTTCTTATGATATATACATAGGAAGGGTCAATAGAGGAAGAATTTCTGGTCTAAAATGGGAGGTAGGGCTGATAAAAAGATCATGAGCAGTAACTGGTCATTAATTTATTCCCTTGACATACTCTCAGACACTTCCAATATGAAACAGACAGCACCTTGTTGGACAGTGTCTATGCAGGCTTCCAGATTCAATAAACTGAGGAAATTAATGAATGAAAAACACTACAGCTCTCTTCTTAAACTAAGAAGCAATACTTGAATCTGTCTAGGTGGGGATTGTATCAATGAGAAGCTGTTTGTCTAAACTCCAAAGTCTAATTTATTTCAATGTTAAGACAAAGCATCTTGTGCCTGTAACTGGGTGTTAATAGAATTGCTTGAATAACCGAGGTAGGAAAACGATTGCTCTACTGCGTGTGTGTAAATTTCTATCATCCCAAAAAAGGTCTGCATTGGGTCTGATCTTTCACGAAGTTTTGCACGCTGATCTGCATTTGCCGAAGTCACTATCTAGCAGGCAGGAGATGGACCCTGGCTGGAGATGGGCTCGTCAGTCCGGGTTCCGTGGATGCTAACGCAGCCGGAAACGCAGCTCCTTGGATCGATGACTCAAACTCAAGAGTTAAGCAGAGACCGCCGGCCCAGATCCAGCAAACAAAGCAAACCCCGGAGACCTTGTCTTCCGGCTAGGCAGAGCCCCGCTACCCAACCCACACGCCCTCCCTTCACGTGTAGGAAAGCAGGGAATGGTTGGCAGGGCCCTGGCCGCTGGAGAAAGGCACCCTGGGGCCGCCGAACCTCTGTACAGAGTGCGCCTGGGGCCGCGGAAGGTGGTGCAGAGCGAGCGAGAGGCGGGTCACCCAGCTGCCTGCAGCGGCCGCGCACACGCCCCGCCTCGGTCTAAAGCGGACGCCTTTTTGTGGCAGCGGGCGTCCAGATTTCCGCGCCACGGTCTACGTCCGGAGCCCTTTCTCGCTAGATCGAGCATCTTGAGCGGTGGAGCGCTGCTGGCCTACACTTTGCCTCTTCCGAGGAGGCCTGAGACAAAGACGCGTAACCGCTGACAGATGACACAGGCTACTAAACATCTCCCTACTCGTACCTCCTTAGTGCTCCGGCTTGGGGGTAGGCACCGGGGAGAGGGCTCTGAGACCTCCGTCTAGTCTTGTCCCTGATTCACTCCTGGGAAGAAAACTGGAGCGCCCAAAATCCTGGCTGTTGCCGGCAACTCAACACCCAAAGGAGTCGGCAGCTCTGGCCGCTTCCCAGGGCTGCCAGGCCCCCAGGAAGGACGGGATGACCCCTGCTGGCCAGAGCTATGGAGACTGTCTCTCTGGGACCTGATGCGACCCCTGAGTTTGCAGGGAACTTTGAAGAACAGCCTGTGTCTGAGGTACTACCTGGGCTGCTGGAATTAAGGTTCTTTAGTTTTCTTAGCCAAGCTTGTCATGGGTGGTTCTCCTAAGGTTTATATCCCAAGCTAAAACTTGGCAAGGGAGTCAATAAATTGAACCTCAAGGAAAACCAATCTTTAGTCAGTGTGAACTAGCCCGGTTCCAATGTGCAGCTTTCCTGCTCAAGTCAAAGCCTTCTTACTGAGAGGAATTGGGGACCAGTCTTCACATCCTGGTTCTGTGATCCCCAACGGAGAACTTCCTTCAAGGACTGGTCTGTGTGGACGGAACCTTGATTGGAGAACTGTTTGTGGGAACGTAAAGTCCACTCGGGAGCATGGAAAGATGGTCTATAAAGTGCACCCTTAGCTCTGTTGTGGCCGCAGCTGTTAAATGCAAAG